CTCCCTCACCCCTTCCCATTTTCCATCTTCCTGCTCTGCAGCTATCCTACCTCACCTTATATCTCCCCCTCTCACCTCCCTTTCATCCTCCTTTACCTCCCAGCTCCAGCCCACATCTCCCATCTCCCTGGCTGCCCTCCTGACATCTTTCCTGTCCCCTATCTTGTACTCTTATTCCAGCATCTGTCTCCTGCTGTTATCTCTCCCTGCTTTCTATCCCATCTTTTACCACCTTCAGCCTAACCATCACTCTTGCAAGCAAAAAAGTCCTGGTCTATTGGAGATGGGCTACATCTCCATGTGAGGGCTAGGTTAAATGGAGAGCCAGGCTCCCATCCCATCCTCACTGCTCAGGACTCTTTTTTAGCAGAAGCAAGGGCCACAGCTTGCAGGCCGGGAGATTCATGTCGGTAACCAGGGAATACTTCTCCCTGGAGGTGGTACAGCTGGAACTGGTCGTCAGAGAAGTAGGAGGATCTGCTCTCTTGGAAGGTTTTAAAAATTGGCCAAAGTCTAGAGTGCCCTGATTTAGCATTAACAACAGCTCTTTTGGAGCAATGAACTAGACCAGAGCTGACTGTAGTACTTTCTAACATACACATCTGTGAAAGTGCTGTGGAGGACTTCTCCAAGCAGTGGAGAATTTTGGAAGGACAAAAAAGACCAGACATGAAAAGCCTACCTGCCATTTGCAGCTACTCATGCAGTTTGAGTAGGACCATCCTGTGCTGTTCAAGCAGGACCATCCCATACTGATCAATCAGGACCACCCCATGCTTCTTGAGCAGGACCACCCCATGCTACTCCAACAGGACCATCCCATGCTGCTCAAGAAGGACCATCCCATGATGCTTGAGCAGGACTATCCCATGCGACTTGCCTAGGACCACCCCATGCTGCTCAAGCAGGATCACTCCATGCTACTTTAGCAGGACCCCCCACCATGCAGCTTGAGCAGGACCATCCTATGCTGCCCAAGCAGGACCACCTCATGCTGTTTGAGCAGGACCACCCTATGTTACTCAAGCAGGACTACCCCATGCTGCTTGAGCAAGACCACTCCATCCTGCTTGAGCAGCGTGGGTCAAGCCAAAGGGTTTTCAATGAGCAATGAGGTATCCCCAAGATAACTTCTCAGACCCTAGAACAAGAACTTTTTCATCATCTTCATTCTACTTCCCTTTGACTGGGGCCATGCAGGGACATGGCCATCTCCTTCCAACACCCTTACGGCCACACCAGGGCTTGGGGCTACTGGTGCTACTGCCAAGGGGAGGACAGACTTCCTCTCCGTCCCACGAGAGCCTTGTGCCCTGGGGGAACCTACAAGAAGGCCCCTTTGGAGCATCCCACACCATTTGCGCACAAGGGCCAGCTGGCCTCTCTGGAGGGCAGACATTGCCCCTCACGATTGGAGGCTCCCAGCCATCCCACGGAGAGTCTCTGCTCCTTTCCATGTGTGTTTAAGGGACTGTCCCACTGCAATAGCGGCAGGGACAGGGTGGCCAGTGTCTTGAGAGGGTTGGGGAGGGGGGGAGGTGACGTTTGTAAAGTGTTCCCATCCAAATGCCTTCCTGGCTGGTGACTTTGGGGGAGGGGGTGGAGGGACTTTGCTACCTGTGTTAGAAACTAGCTGAACGTAGGTGTCTCGCCAAGCTGGATTTCTTATTCCAAATGTTCAAACTGTTGTATATTGTACTGGGATTTTTACATTGAATTATTGTAGAAAACAAAAATTTAAACCAAGTCTGTTAAAAATAAACACTAAAAAAACTCTATGGAAAAAAAAAAAACAATTCAAGATTGTCTCTAAGTCCTCTTTTCTACCAGCATGTGGGAGCAGTGGAGTGTCCCCAGCGCTTGCTTTCCTGTGCTAACGCTGCCAAGCCCCAGCCTCCTGGGGACACCAAAGACGACGCTCCTGTGGTTTCCTAAGGACCTGGGATGCAAAGGAACCAGTCCCCATGGGCACTCAGTTGGAGCTAGGGGAGGCTCCCCTGACCAGGGCAAGGAGCAGGATGGCTCAGCAAGGAGAGCTGGACTCTCTCCAGCAGCTCCACATCCCTCTTGTCCTGGGCAGCCCAGAACTGGACCCAGTCTCCAGATGTGGCCTCACCAGGGCTGTGTATAGGAGGACAACCCCCTCGACCTGCTGGAGACGCTCTTCTTAATGGCCCCCAGGATCCTGTTGGCCTTCTTGGCCAGGCCCTGCCTGGCTCCACCGCACACCCTGCAGCACGAGGGCCTCGGACACGATGTCCCTGTCCCCGCAGCCCCTGCACGGCTGGCCCTGCAGGCCTGCACAGCTGGCAGCCCATCAGCAGAGGGCACGATGGCCCCGTGGCCCCACGTGGCTCCTTCCCTTGGCCGCCTTCGCAGCCCGGCCGCCCTGACGTGTCCCTGCAGAGCGGGGACTGCGGCGGGCGGCAGAGCCCACGCAGGCACCTGAGCTGCTGCGAGAGGAGAGCGCAGCTGTATGAGGGTAATCGGCCCCGTCCAGGGGACATACAGCCGTTTTCTCAGGTCTAGATCACTCAGAAAGCTCTGGCAAACGGCAGTGACGTGTCTGCCGGGCTGGATTTATAGCAATGATTGCATTATCAGCTCCTCTAAATGCAAAATGATTATGCACATACGGAGCGCACTCTGCAGAGGGCTAAATTGCCACGCTCTGGTTTTCATTCGCTTCTCTTTAATGCTGCAGAAGGTCTGACATTCAGCAGATGCTTCCCAGGCAGGTTGCAATGAGGTGGCTCTGGCTTCATCCAAGCAGCCCGGACAGCCCAGCCTGTTTTAACTCCTTGATAGCCACGACGGGACCGGGAGCATCCCAGGAAGGGCCAAAGGGCTGCAGAGCTGCCCAGGGCAGCTGGGCTTTGGGCTAAGCCATTCCATTCCCAAACAAAAGCGCTGGTAACTCCCTGCAGGACCTCCTCTTATCACAGAGCTGATTAAAATTCCCCCTGCAGCTGGCGCAGGGAGGAGTTAGGGCTGTGGTGAGTTGTGTGTGCTCGAGGTGCAAGAGAGGGGCTGTCCGGAGTGGAAACCGGGCTGGAAATCGGCCTAGGAGCTCCCAGGACACCCAGGCAAGGTGCAGGGTGTCCACACTGACCACACTGAGCAGGTTGTCCACATTCCCCCTTTGCAAAGCAAACCAGAGCCTGCACCGCGCTCCACACTGAGCTCACGTGCGGTCCCAAGACCCGGAGGACGTCGGTGCCGCCTCTCGCTCTGGCGCTGATGGAGGCCAAGCCGGGCACCCGCCAGGGCCACGAGTCCTGGAGACCATTTTAGCACCTGTAACCTTGAGCTCATCCTGCTGGACCCACGTGCTCCCTTCCAGCTTAGCCCTCCAACTAGGGGCAAGATGTGGGGCAGGAGGACATGGGGGAGCAAAGCATGGCCATGCAGTGCAACAGGGACAGTGTATCCTAGGATACGTTGTACTTGGTCACTGACCCCAGGCCCTGCTCCCTGGCCCGTACACCACTGGGCAAGTTCAAGGTTATGAACTTTATCTTTCGAGTGTTCCTTGGCCCAAGCCCAAAATACAGCATGGATTGGCCGCAGAGAAGGTTGAGTAGCTCCTTGAATGGAGCCAAATCTCTCTTAGAATGATGATGCTCCACAGTGAAGTGCCGTGGCAGCACCGTTGGGGTGGCCTGACTCAGGGTGGCATTCCGACTGCATGGAAAATCAGGAATAAGTTGAGAATGGGTCCACAAAGCTAGGCCCCTATGTAGGCAGGCTGCTCTAAGATCAGAGGAACCTGAAATGAAGCCAGTCCCTCTGGAGGCTCTTGCTGCTGCCTCCCACTGCAGGGAGAGCAGGTCACTCAGCTCTTGTGCAGCTGAGCTTAACGTATCTCCAAGGACAGAGGCCCTGCAGACACTTTGGACCCCTGTCCCAGTGCTTGAGGGTCCTGGTGAAAAAAAAAAAAAAATTATTGAATTTCTGCCAGTATGCACAAGATTCACCGCATTTAGGAGGAGAGGAGCACAGAGGACTGATGTGGCTCCAGGGTAGCTCCATGTTGGAGAAGTGGAGTTGCTCGAGCCCAAGTGCAAGGCTTAGACTCACCCCTCTCTGCTCCACACTGTGCACATGTACCAATCAGTGTCGGGTTAATACAGGTATAGCTTGTTATTCAAGATCTAATGCAATGCAGGATCTAATGCAATGCAGGGTCTAATGCAATGCGACGCACATTCACGCTGCGAGGTGGAGAGCTGGCATTTGCCATCATGTCACCCGTGGTGCCCCTGTATTATCAGCTCTGGTGCAGAACTCCCATGGGCTCAGGAGCTTCTCGTCTGATAGCAGTGCAGGGACACAAGCCTGGAGCTCCCAGCGCCCCACAGACCCTGCAAGGATGAAACCTGGAGCTTGGGGACGCAGTGGCAAAGAGCCAGTCACATCTATGTGTCACTGGGCAGCAAAACCACCTATGTCTGCCTTGGGGGGACCTGCTGGATACCCTGCTGTGGGGTTAAGCACCAGGGCACTGTGTGAAATGCAGGGGTCTGCACGGGTGGAGACAGGGCCAGGGCCAGCAACAGGGGGCTGGGTGATGTGGGGCTGGGTGACAGTGGTCACCATGGGGCTGGGTGATGGTGGTCACCATGGGGCTGGGTGATGGTGACCCCAGCCCCGCAGGGGACGTGGCCAGAGCATGGGCGACACACGGGCACGGCTGGTGGGCACCCGGGCGCAGGGACACGGGCACAGACACCAGGGGCAGGGTCCCCGCCATGGGCAGTGTCACCCGTGGCGGGGAGGGGACACTGCGCCGTGTCACTCGCTGCAGGGGACGCGGCGCCGGAGGGGGCGGCGCTGCCGGCTCCCCTTGAGGGCGGCCCCGCTCCCGCTCCTCCTCCTCCTTCTCCTCCTCCTCCTCCTGCTGCTGTTTGAAGCGGCGCCGGCGCCGCGGGCCGCGCACAGGCCGCGCGCGCCATGGTGCTGCCCGCCGAGCAGGCCCGCGTGTTCCGCCCGCGGGCCGCGCTCCTGCCGGCCGCGCACGTCCCCTCGCTGCCGCACTACGAGCGCCTCTACGAGCGCTCCGTGCGCGCCCCGCACGGTGGGTACCGGCACCGATACCAGTACCGCCCGGCCCCCCGCGCCCTGCCCCGCCACCGTCCCCATTGATCCCCTCCTTGTCCCGGCTCTCCGCAGAATTTTGGGGCGACATCGCCAAGGAGTTTCACTGGAGGACGGAGCCCTCGGCGCCCTTCCTGCGCTACAACTTCGACATGACCAAGGGCAGGATCTTCGTGGAATGGATGAAAGGGGCCACCACCAACATCTGCTACAACCTGCTGGATAGGAACGTGCACGAGAAGAAGCTGGGGGACAAAGTTGCCTTCTACTGGTAAAGTCCTGTTCGGTTTGCTTTATTTCTCATAATTCGGGGTCTACGTGCAACGTCCTTGTGTGTAGATGCTACTGATGGCTGTTGAGGTGAATTTAAACTCAGTAAAACCTGGGAGGCTTTAATCTTGCCATAAATAGAGGTGTTTGCATCCCGTGAAGAAGCTGCCTTGGGATGCACTCAAGGAGCACAGTTTATTAGCAAGGATCTCCCCAACTTCTAGCCCTACCTTGACCTGGACTGCTGCAGCCAGGAGCAGTCGTGCGGCTTTGGGTGAAACGTGGGCAGATTCCTTCACAGTTTCCTCGTGAAGGAGGTAACTGCCCCTTTGCAAGCAGGGAAATGGGATCAGGAACAAGTAACATGCAAAAAAATGAATTAAACCCAGACCTCCCATTTCTGCCTTCTGCTGTCCTGGCAAGTTTCCCCACCGGTGGCTGAAAGGTTCTTCTAAAACCTTGCATTCCCCATTGAGCTCTTGCTTTGAGGCTGTATTACTTTGTGAAGGTCTCTAAAAGCTTGGCATCCCTGACATTGCCTCCAGGATGGCCAGGTAGCTTCCAGCCCTTTCTTGAGTCTGTTGGTTTCCCTGTTTTCAGAGTAGCTACAGTCTGAAAAATCATGTGAAGCTGGAATTTTGACAGTGATGTAAGATGGGCTTCACTGGAGACTTCTGAAATCCAGAGCTAGTGCTTTGCTGCAGACCAGGCTCAGCCAGCTCCTGGTTTCTGTGCCCTGGGTCGAGGTTGCTGCCCTGTCCGTTCTCGTTCTGTGCCAGGCGTTTCTCTTGCATCTACGTTTATGTCACCACATGTGGTGGTGCAGAAGCCAAGCAAGATGCATGCAAAGGTGCAGTGTTAGGGTAGCTTATTGCCAGTGCCTTCAGAGGATCACACGCAATACAAAGCGCTCAGCTATTTATTGATGAACTGTTCTGCACTAAATAAGTTGATGCAGATAAGGAGCCCCTCCATGTCACTGGCATAAGGAGACCACGTTCATGGCAGTTCAGCTCTCCCCATGCTTGTCTGACTGGGGGCTCCTACTTGAGTTTTCAGCTGTGCAGCTACTGCTTCACTAGAAGAGTCACCACCCAACAAACACCCAGGTTGACTTGGCCTCCAGCTTGTGCAGGAGAAATGGTGGCCAGTGCTTGCCTCTCTGCCAGCCACCCGTGTTCTCCAGCTCACTCCAGGGGAAAACAGCTTCGGTTTCTCAATGAGAACTCCTGTGTCAGCCTGTTCAGGTAGAGGTGTGGCCAGGTAAACAAGAGCCACTTGGCAGCCCTGGGCAGCACAGTTGGCATCAGTGTGCAAAGGGAGGCTGCTCATCCCCGCATCCTCCTCCTCCTCCTTCAGCACCTACACCTGTGTGCAGCAGATAGGCAGCCCTCAGCTTTAGCTTGTCCTCAAATTATTTTTTTTTCTCATTTCTGGCAGGCTCTGTGAGGGTGTTGTGATGCTAAACAGTATTTGCAGTGGGTATTAAAAAGGGGAGTGACAAACTGTTTGCATTGCTAAAAAAAAAAAAGCTTGTTTGGGGGGAGGCATTCGCCTCGTGTGCGTCATCCTGAGTGGTTGGTTTGGACGTGGGCATTGGGGTGTCTGCAGCTCAACCGTGAATGAAGATGCTCTGAATGTGACAGCACGAACATGTGGTGTGGGACCTTGGGGAAACAGGGCTGGGAGCTGTTATCTGTAACAGGAACAGGGCTGGGGGTTGTTGCTTGTGGACAGAGCCCTGGGGGATCCTGCCCAGGCCTTTCCAGGCACCTCCCTTTTTCCAGTAACAAAGAGGTGGCTTCTCCTTGTCCACATTTGTGCAAAGCACGGGATTGAGCAAGCTCAGCTTTCTGAAACCCTTGAAATTTGTCAGACTTTTGAAAGGCCAATAAAGAAAAGAGAGCCTACAAAAGCCAAGGAGAATTCCTAGGAATACATATATATGTATATATATTTAATGCCTTGGCAAAATATCTCCTTCTAGGTATGTATGCGTGGGGAGGGTTGGATGGGAAAGGAGCTAGGATCGTGGTGAGGAATCGGTGACTCTGGAAAGATGCAGGGTCATGGCCTTTGCTTTCCAAGGGGAGGAATGGGGGAAAAGGGAATGCTGTTTCCAGGCACTGCAGAGCCTTTCTAAGAAGTGAGTCCTGACCAAGATTCCAGCCCCTGTTGTCTATGGTCGCCTCTAGTTTTGCCTGGATGGGAAGGAGCTCGTGGTTCATGGGGAGCTGTCCTTGCCTCGCTGCTCTCAACATTCCTGCTCATCTCCTCCTGCAGAAACCACCAAACCCCAAGAAACCCCAAGAATATGAACCCAGGGATAACCTGAGGGCAATCCGTGCTGCTGAGGGCAATCCCTGCCATCCCTGCCACGGGATTGCTCCTGTGGTCCCAGGGGCAGCCGGCGGGATCGCTTCACACCGCATAGCTGCTACATAGGTGACATTTACCGTCACGCTCTCGTCCTCTGGGTGCCCTTAGGCCCGTGTAGCTCAGCCTGCGCCCGGGGCTGTAGGAAGCTCTTGCAGCCTCTCTGCTGCCTGTTCCGCCGTGATAGCTCCTGCAGCTCGCGAACGTTACGGGTATTTCTGCCCCTGCTGCTTTTGATTCCTCTTTCTGCGCTTGGCGTTGCTGATGTGGCCTGAAATGTAACGGAAAAGCCAGGAAGGGTTTCTGATAAAGCGCTTGTCTTAAATGTGAAATCTCTTTCCTAACTTGTGGGGGAAGACCAGAGCTGATGCTGCAGCAGATACCTGCCCTTGCTGCCACGGACCTTGCAGGCACCCTGGGTACATCATCTGGGACACCAAGGGCTCTCCCAGGAGGTTTGAACGCGTCCCAAGCCTTTTCTCTTGGCTTGTTGACTAAAGCTGGCCACCCGTGAGCTGTTACCATGCTGTGAACTCAGCTCTGCTGCACAGATGTGCTTAGTTGTGTGCCGAAATGCCCGCTAATAAAGGAGAAGTGTCTGCTTGGGCACCTTCTGGGGTAAAAATATGCCCGAGTGGGAATTCAGGAAACAAAACACTTCTTACAAAACTCCCCCGCAGTCTCTGTAATGAGACCCTTGGGTTAAACATTTTTTTTTAAACCTCGTTGAAACCTTTTCCATTTCCTGATGTCCGTACAGCAGAAGCACTAACTGGGGCACCTCATTTCCCAAAGCAGCCAGCCCGGTGGTCCCACTGGTACCAGGGGGCAGGATCTGGCACGCTGTGGTTTCGCCCTAGGCCCCGCTGCAGGGGCCGGCGTCGGAGGAGCCCGTGGGTTCTCTGCTCTCTTGCGTTTGTGTACGAGGGGACGTCCTTGGAAAGGAGAAGTGAAGCTGGCGAAGGCGTCAGGGCCTTCCGCAGCTTTGTTTAAATGGAAAAATAGCTGCCAGTCGTTGCAGCACTGGAATGACATGCAGTGATAAAATGGAATAGCAATGCAGCACTAAAATGCAGATAAAATAGAACACCAATGCAGCGCTAAAATGGAGATTTCCTTTATTTTTTTTTTAATCTAATAAAGGATTTAGGGGCTGTCTTCAGATAAATCTTCCTGCAAGAAGGAAAGTGAGAGCCCTGTTTAAAGCATAATCAGCCAAAAAGCAAAGCCTGCCAGTGGGGCTTCCAGCAGGAAGCTGCAAATAGCAGTTTTTGAGAGCAGCCCTCGGGAGAGGATAGGGATTTGCCTGTGAGCCTTGGAGCGAGCACGTGCTGGCTGCAGCAACGTAGGAAACTCTACACGTGCTGCGTCCCGGGCCGCACGGGCTGCCCGTAGGTGCCGAACCAGCCGCTGCTCTTGTTGCACTGGTGGCCACGGGTCAGTCTGGAATGTTTTATTCCCGGCTTTGTCACCTGGAATGTTTTATTCCCGGCTGTGTGACTAGGCTGAAGTGAAGCCAGATGCCGGCTGTGCTATCGTGGTGCTCCTGCTGTCCAGGTCTGGACCGTTTGTGTTGGCAGAACTGTCCTTGTCTTGAACTGCTGAGCGTGGTCCCAGCGTTTGACTTTGGAAATCTAGATCCATGAGGTGGTTTTATCCGCAGGCGCCTTCCCACGGGCCTCGGGACTCTGATGTGGCCCAGGCCAAACTGACTCTTCTTCAGTAACTTCCTGAGTGACTTGTCACAGAATCACAGGATGGTTGAGGCTGGAAGGGACCTCTAGAGATCATCCAGTCCAACCCCTTGCTCCAGCAGGGACACCCAGAGCACGGGGCACAGGGTGGCATCCAGGTGGGTTTGGAGACCTCCAGAGAAGGAGACTCCCCAGCCTTCCTGTGCAGCCTGTGCCAGGGCTCCCTCCTCCTTTCAATGATGCAGCCTTTCCAACACTGTCTTGAAGAGTAAACCCGTATCTTTCTATCGCACGGCTTGGGCAGAAGAAAGCAATTGCAGCAGCAGGAGGGTTGCGTTTACTTTGGCACGCGCTGATAAGCGCGTCCGTGGATGTGTTGGAGCTGGCAAGGGCATCCACAGCTCCTGGGCAGGTGCTGCCAAGGCCTTGCCCAGTGCTGGTGTTCCCCAGTCACTGCTCCAAAGGGCTCGCCTAAAAGCGGGCAGTTGCAGCGAGCTTTGTAGCAAGAGGCAGTTCATGGAAAACTTGCCGTGGGTTTCATCAGTAATTGCAACACTCCGTGCTCCTTGCAGCTCCCTTCTGCTGCTGGGAATTCTGGTTTGGACGGGGAAATCCCTGCAAACCTGAGCGGTTTTCTGGGGCACCTCCCCAGCGATGCATGGTTTGGCTGGGTGCATCTGTCCCGTTTTCTGCCTGCTTTGGAATACTCTTTTCTCCTACATTTAAAAGAAAACATCTCTGCTTTGCAGGGCTGCTTGGCTGCTGCAATAGGGGGAATGGTGGGAGCATTAATAAAGCTGGAATAAAAACAAGGAGAAAAGAAGATACTTGTAGTAGCTCTGACACATTCAGGCCTTGAAGAGGGGCACACTTGGTTAAGTTCTTTGGTGAAATTCTTCCTGTCCCCCGGAAAAGAAGCAAGGCAGGAAGT